TCGCGCGTTTCCACATGACTTAGAGAGTTGCAAGAATCTTGGTGGACTGTGGCCAAGACGAGGGCCTGGGCTGAGGAGCTACGACAAGAACAGTTTGGTTGGGGCTGACCTGTCTAGGGTGTTTCTAGGGGGACCGGAAGGCTTTGACCCCGGAGTTGGACCGGTTTTTTGAGGGGATTTTCACTGGTTCGGTTTCAGGGAAGATTTGCCTGGTTTTTAGAGGGCTTTGACCGGAGTTGGGCCAGTTTGAATGGTTGGCTTCCAGAAACGAATTTGTTAGCAATAATTTGGCCGGTTTCTAGAGGTTGGAGAGGTTGGGGAATTTGTCCAGTTTCTAGGGCGGTTTGGACCAGCTTTCAGAGGGACTTGACTTGTTTCTGGACAGTTTGAGATTGGTTCTACAGGGGAATTTGACTGGGGATTTGACCGGAGTTGGACCGGCTTTTTGCTGGGAAGAATTTGACGCAAAGATACATGTGTTGATATGTATGTATGTATATCTATACACATGTGCATGTTTATACGTACATTGTTTTACTTGTATGTATGTTACAATGAATCCATGGCTATGTTGGATCACATGATTGCCGAACGTGGTGAAATCCCACATGTGCAATTCAACTTGCTACATTAACTGATGGCACCCTTGATTCGCTGTCACTTCCTCCAGAAGGAGGGCCGACTTGTGCAAAGTCCCCTTTCTCTTAGGGGCACTTGGCGGCACCGTCTCCCTGATCACTGCGCGCCACCGCTCACCTCTCCTTTCCCCTGTCGTTGACCCGGCCCAGCGTGCGAATGGCGGGTGGGGGTGCCATGGTTTTGCGGAGCCTGCGCCGTGTGGCCCTGGCTGGGCAGGCACGCTGGAGAAGTCAGAGCGTGTCCTTCAGTCCGCACCCCCTTTTTCAATGAGGTCTGGGGTTTGGACCATCTGAGAAGATTCAAGAAGACAACAATTGCAAGGTCCATCCTTTGCACTGTTGGAAAACGATGTTGATTTGCCCTTGTGCTGTTTTCCGCGAGGGCGGCTTGACGTAGGTGGAGCCAAGGACTATGTTTGTGGAGCATAGCAACCTTGTATTGGCTTCAACAATAATCGAGCACCCAGATCTCTTCAAGTATTGTTCGTTAAGATTCGATGTCCCCGCCCAGCTCATGCCAAGTCATTCGCACGCCGTCGCAGTCTTTGCCAGGCCCCGCTGCTGCCATGTCCAGTGCCGGGCCGGCGCCCTTTCGCGGGCTGGTGCCAGAAATTGTCCGGGGGCAATCTCGAGGAGTGCGAGATGACCGGGAATGATTGTTTCCCGAAAGGAAACCACAACGGAATGGATGTTTCATTCTTCCAGCCTCCCAATAGGTTAAAAGGTAGCCGTTTTTGGTAGTGGTTGTGGCTGCCTAGACTGCATGCTGGTTGCTGTTCCTGCCGCGCCCTGTTTTGTGAGGAGAGAGCAACCACGGCACGCCCAACAGCTTCTTGGCCAATACTAGCCCGGCGTACAGAAAGCCGAACATTGGCACACTGGCAGGGCCGTTTGGCACCTGTGTGTGCGGACGTGTGCTCCACCCATCTCTTGGATTTCAGCATGACACACGACCATCTTGCTGTGCCAACTGCAAGGAGGATGGCATGGTGAACATCAGGACCCCAAATGCAGGTGCGGCAGAGCGCAACCAGCTTTCGGGATGCCAGGTGATGCTCGGGCAACTTGCTGTGCCAACTGCAAAGAGGATGGGATGGTGAACATCAGGAGCCCCAAATGCAGGTGTGGCAGAGCAATACCATATTTGGGGATGCCGGGTGACGCTCGAGCAACTTGCTGTGCCAACTGCAAAGAGGATGGGATGATGGACATCAAGAACACCAAATGCAGGTGTGGCAGAGCCCAACCTTATTTCGGGATGCCACGCGACGCTCGGGCGACTTGCTGTGCCAACTGCAAAGAGGATGGGATGGTGAACATCAAGAGCCCCAAATGCAGGTGCGGCAGAGCCATACCGCATTTCGGGATGCCAGGCGACGCTCGGGCAACTTGCTGTGCCACCTGCAAAGAGGATGGGATGGTGAACATCAAGAGCCCCAAATGCAGGTGCGGCAGAGCCCAACCTGTTTTTGGGATGCCAGGTGATGTTCGGGCAACTTGCTGTGCCAAGTGTAAAGAGGATGGGATGGTGAACATGAGGAGCCCCAAATGCAGGTGTGGCAGAGTTGAACCAGTTTTCGGGATGCCAGGTGATGCTCGGGCAACTTGCTGTGCCAACTGCAAAGAGGATGGGATGGTGAACATCAGGAGCCCCAAATGCAGGTGTGGCAGAACCCAACCTGTTTTCGGGATGCCAGGTGACGCTCGGGCAACTTGCTGTGCCAACTGCAAAGAGGATGGGATGGTGAACATCAAGAACCGCAAATGCAGATGTGGCAGAGTTGAACCAGTTTTCGGGATGCCAGGCGACGCTCGGGCGACTTGCTGTGCCAAGTGTAAAGAGGATGGGATGGTGAACATCAGGAGCCCCAAATGCAGGTGTGGCAGAGTTGAACCAGTTTTCGGGATGCCAGGTGATGCTCGGGCAACTTGCTGTGCCAACTGCAAAGAGGATGGGATGGTGAACATCAGGAGCCCCAAATGCAGGTGTGGCAGAGCAATACCATATTTCGGGATGCCAGGCGACGCTCGGGCGACTTGCTGTGCCAACTGCAAAGAGGATGGGATGGTGAACATCAAGAACCGCAAATGCAGATGTGGCAGAGTTGAACCAGTTTTCGGGATGCCAGGCGACGCTCGGGCGACTTGCTGTGCCAAGTGTAAAGAGGATGGGATGGTGAACATCAGGAGCCCCAAATGCAGGTGTGGCAGAGTTGAACCAGTTTTCGGGATGCCAGGTGATGCTCGGGCAACTTGCTGTGCCAACTGCAAAGAGGATGGGATGGTGAACATCAGGAGCCCCAAATGCAGGTGTGGCAGAGCCCAACCTGTTTTCGGGATGCCAGGTGGTACTCGGGCAACTTGCTGTTCCAACTGCAGAGAGGATGGAATGGTGGACATCAAGAACGCCAAATGCAGGTGTGGCAGAGCAATACCATATTTCGGGATGCCGGGTGATGCTCGGGCAACTTGCTGTGCCAGCTGCAGAGAGGATGGAATGGAAAACATTGTAAGTTTGAGGTGCCTTGTGTGCGGAAAGCGCGCGAATTACCCAGATGCTACTGGCAAGCCTCGGCAATTCTGCGCATTGCATGCCGCACAGGTTGGCGCACATGTATTGTCCTCATCGAACTTTTCGCGCGCAGCAAGTAATTGTTTTGACATGTTGGAGGAGGAGGTAGGCTACAGGTTTCCTTTTCGGCACAGATTTGATGCAGCTACCGGCACTTGGTCCGGTAAAGAGTTCGCAGGTCTGATTCCAAAGCGTGCGTTGCTGCCCGATGCATACCACCCGGAGAAGCGTGAGGTGATTGAATTTCTGGGGAACTACTACCACGGCTTTCCCGTGGAGCATCCACGGCTACTTGGTAGCACATATCGCAGCTTCGTTGCGTCTTGTCGTACCCCCAAAGCACAAGTACCTTCTGAAACATGGGCTTTCTGTCATCCGCTCGCAACTCATTCTGCTTCAAGGCATACCAGCTTCATTTGCGTGGCTGGCAAACTGGCATCGGACGTCTTTCGTGACACCATGGAACGCCTCGATCTGTTCACTGCGGAGGGGCTCAGCGTCTTCTACATTTGGGAGCACGAGTTCGTGGAGTGGCGGAAGCGAGCATCTTGGCAGAAGCAGGGCTGGGTTTTCTTGAAGCAATTCCCAATGCAAAATTGTCAATCGGCGACGCAAAAAATGATTTAGCATAACATGGCCAAAGAAACCGTTTGCCAGTTCGTTGGTCCCAGTTCCCTTAAGAAGTTTTAGTTCCCTCCCCTGAGCCTCAGGCCGCCTCTGGGGAGGCTGGGCCTATCACCAGCCTCCTGCGCCGCCATGAGCCAAAGCCCATGGGCCGAAAAGAAGCCCGCGCCTTTGGGGATGTAATGGGCCAGTGACCCAGGGATGCAGAAGACCACGTTAAAATGCACTTGCCCTTTGCACTTTTCAAAAGTACACAGACAACTCATGAGTGTGCAGGCAAGTTGGAGAAATAGCATCAAACATCAAACAGCGCGATCACTGCGGGTGCTTTTCTGCGACCAAGGCTTTTGCGAGCTGCGCATTTTGTCCCCAAAATGCCTTTGGTCCCAGCCTTTGGCTTTCGCAGGATGGAGCAAAACCTATTCTTACTCAACGAAGATTCCGGGTTCCGTGTTGCGGGGCATTGCGCTGGAAGGTCCGGGACGGTCGTGTCGTGATACCACTGGAAGGCCTTGCCAACTTGACTTCTTTGCTTTAAGGAGTTATCAAAGAAGTGGGAACAATCGGCCTTGTCTTCCGTCTTTTGGTTCAAGAAATCATACCTCAATCTTGCAAAAGTAATCAAGCCCGAGCCGAGTCTCTGACTACCTGCCCCGACTTACTCCCCAGGGTGGAAGCTGGTGGATTTTCCTTTGAAGGAACCTAGGCTTCTCAAAACGCCGTTGAACCCTCTTCGGAGAAAGCTTTCCTTTGGTGATGCAGGACATGCTGGGGATGCGGGATAGCTGAGGATGTGGGTAATGCCATGATGCAGGTAATGCAGAGGATGCCAAGGAGCAGGACTTGCGGATACATGTGATGCAGGGGAGGGGATGCAGGTGATGCAGCAGGAGGATGCTGGAAATCCTCTGGTGCAGGACTTGTTGCATTGACTATTTCAAGATTTTGCTCTTGCATCTTGAAATTCCAGGTATGGCAAGCAGTGTTTTTTTTTTGTTCTCTCTCTGTTGCGCCCTCTCCCCTTTCTCTGGACTAACAATGCGAAGCCATGTGATATCTGGGGTTGCGCAACCAACACTTTTGAGGGGAACCTAACTCAGGTTCATCGTGTCTTTTTTGGCCTTCTGATATGAAAAGCGTAACTCTTCGCTGCGGTTTTGGTGCAGGTGCTGCTCTACGTCATCGACTGCGCCCGATCTGTGGACCCCTTCGATGATCTTCTCAAGCTGCAACTGGAGGCGGGGGGCACACAGAGAGTCATGGGCCCAACCATAGGTGTCCTTTTTTGATCAGTTGGTTTGGTTAGAAGTAGATAAAAGGGTTCCACTGGTGCAGAAATTCATTTTGTTTCATTTACGATGGGTGTTGTTAAAATCCATTTACCAGGGAAACCCATCCATTTGCAACCAAAAGGTCACCTATGGGTCACCTATGGGTCACCTATGGGTCACCTATGGGTCACCTATGAGGTCCCAATGAACCCTGCGGTGGGCACCATGGTCTTGAGGTCCAGGCCTACTCATTGGACATGGCCTGGAAGCCCTGTGGGGTGATCTGCACCAAGTGCGACGTGGACCCCGTGAAGACCTTGCCCCGGGTGGCTGCTCGCCTCGAAGAACTCAGGGTGAAGATACCCAAAGTTGGCCGAGCACATGGGCGTTTGTGTGTGTGTGTGTGTGAAAATGGGAGAGACCCCCTGCGGCGCTTTGGCTTCCCTTTCGTTTCCAACTCTCCGAATGTTGAAATAGGGGGAACTTTCATGGGCTTTGGCTTTCCTTCCCAAAATGTCACGCTTGCACATGTGGTTCACTTGCTGGGAGAAAGTTTCGGTTGACTTTCTGGCGACCTGATGAACACCGGCAAATTCAAGGACAACTGAGTCAGTTTCAGCGACAGGCGCAACATCCTGCAAGGTGGCAGCGGCCACATGAATTCCTCTGCCCATGGGATCGATCCGCTGGTTGGCAGGAAAGGAAAGCAAGCAGAAAACCGTCCGCTTTGAATACGGAACCGGTTTCGCGGGTGTGGCGATGCTTTTGCTCAAAGGGAGTTGCGTGCACAGGTGGAAGACGCACTAGTAAGGAAATGAGCAGCTAGAAACTATGTTCACCCTTTCTCTCATACATTCAACCCCGAATTCGCCAGATGAACTGGACCGGGCACCCTCTGAGGATGCTTTGTACCACCGTGTGAAGACGGCGGAGCGTGGTTTGGGCCAGGGCCTCAGTTCTTCGGGCTTTTGCTTTTACGAAGGTGTCCACAGTTTTTTTGTGCCGAGCCCCCGTGCCTTTGTCCCTTGTGGCCGAACGGCAGAGTGCCAAACCAATACTTTGGACCAACAGCCACTGAAACTCCGCGCTCACTTTGCCTTCTCATGTTCTTGGTCTCTAGGGCCTGCCATAGACTCAAAAAAAAAGCTTCTTGGTCTCCGCGGCCCATACAGACTCAGCGCCTAGCTCGAGGCCCAGCGCCCCTCTTCGTGCGCGCGGTGTCGGCGCGCTTTGGAGAGGGGGTGAAGGGCTTGCTGCAGGCGGGATGTCGGGGTGACAGGCTTGGGGTTTTTCGGCTGTGCTCCCCTGAAAAGCAAGCAGAAGCTTGGACGGGCAAGCTACTAGACTGACTTTCTTTGAGTTTGCCTAAGGGGGTCTTCCATGATTGGTCGTGAGAAGAACCCCAACTTAAGCTGGGTCACCAGAGGGGTAACAGTAGATTGCACAAGCTGCCTTTGATCATCCTCTTTTGCAGCAAGGGAATAGACTACGTTCACCCCGTGATGTGTGGGGAAACGCCGATTTTGGGGCCAGGAGGTGCTGCTGATCCTTCATGGACGGCACCAGAGCCCTGGCAGACTGGGGGTTTGAGGGGTGGGGGGTTGGGGGTGGGGTTGTGGCGTTGTGGGGTTGTGGGGTTTGGGGGTGGTTCTCGGACACACTACATTAGCATCAGCATTAAAATTAACACGACATGACAGATTGGCTTCCCCCAAAGGGCTCTGCTTCAAATGGAGTTTTTTTTGTGGTTCCATGCCGCTTTTTCAGCGCAGCCCACAAATTCGCGCGGCTCCCGGTCCAGGGGTTCTCTGAGTTGGACCGAGTTGGGTTTTGCGCCTTGGCGATCGGCTCCTGGTCTGAGTTCTGCGCTTTTGGCAGCTTCCCCCAATTGGTGGTTTGTTGTTTGGTGGTTTGGAGGTCAGGGGGGCTGTTTCCCATTGACCCTCAACAAGAAGGGCAGCAAATCCGAATCCAAACCACCTGATTTTGGGCTTGGTGTTTGAAGGTTAGGGGCTTGTTTCCCATCTGCGATCAAACAGAACCAGGGGATTTGAATTTAAATTCAAATCCCAAGCCACCAATCCAAACCAACGAAGAGGTACCTGATTTTTGGCTTACTCAGCCCAGCTTAGGCTTCGCTTTTTCGGGTCTGTGGCGACACGTTTGGAAAGCGGAACGTCCCTTCGCCCACGCAACCAGCGGCTGACTACCCAACATGGGGGGCTAAAATGGTTCTACTTTTGATTTCCCCTCAAACCAACCCCACAAAGAAAAAACCCAAACAAGTTCCAAGACCATGCCCGCTCGACGCACGCCTTCTTGAGGAAATGGCTGGCGCAGCAAACCGCTCGCCAAGAGGAGGAGGGCGACGGGTGAAAAAGTTTTGCGGACCGTTGCAAGGGGAATGGTGGGATCAAAGAGGGTTCAACCACCACGAAAAGCCGGCCGCCTCCCGCATGTTGTTCTCTGGCTTGTTAGGCAATTGTTGGAGCAGCGGTTAGTTGCTCGGACACTATAAGACCTGGTCGCACCACCCAAGTTGGGCGGGTGCAAGTCTTCGCAGGTACCACCGAGCGGTCCCGTGGTGAACCTCGAAACCGTGCGACTGTTCTCTGGCTTGTTTCTGCAAGTCGTGTAGCAAAGGAACCTGCTAGCTTTGGGCCACTTTGGATCAACCACTTTTATAGATTCCCATTGAGGGAGTCATCGTACGTTGAAGAAATGCTTCGTACTCCTCCACAAACACGAACAGACTCACATGTTGAGATGAATCTTGCAGGACACGTGGCAACTAGAGATGCTTTTAGGAGCAGAGCTATCGCGTGGGTCGTCGCAAAGAGTCGCCCATGTTTGGTGTGGACCATTTCCGGTAGTCTGGACTATTTGAGTGGCGTGTCCAAACTTCCATCGTATACCGGACACATCCTCCAGTTGTGTTAGCCCAATCTGGCTGCATGTGAAACCAGTGCTGTTTGCTTCCCATTCCTGAAGCCTCAGTATTGGTCGGTGGAAATCTAGACCGGGTCGACCTGAGACCTGGGTGTGTCTGTTTTTGAGGCCCCTCCCCCCCGCTTTTGGTCGTTTTGGAAGCGACACCAAAAGGAAAGCCACCATTTCGGGGGGTCCGATTCCCAAAGAAGGACACACCCACCCCTCGCCCCCAAAGGGTTCAACGCAACGGCCTACGATTTTTTCCTCCAAAGAAAACCCGCGCTGCAAGCGGAGAGCTGAGGTCCGCCCTCGTGGAGTCGCTGCAGTTCCTGCACGGTCTGCCGCAGCACTTTGGCGCCGAGGAAGCCTTCGTGGGCCGTGATGTGGGGGCGTGTGTGACGTGGGGGGTGGGGACTGGCAGTTTTCAAGTAGCCACAAGGTGTGGATGCTTTTGCAATCTCGATTTAGTGGATTTTTTTGGATTTGGGGGGGGTTGGGGATGCCAAAATCTAGGCCCTGAATTCGAAGTGTTGCCGACCTGCTTGCTTGAGGGGGTTCCGGGGCTTGCTTTATGTGAGCGTGAGGGTCAGGGTGATTGACTCTCCTCGCGGGCCGAGGGCTCCTAAAACATCCATTCCGCACTCAAACGCCACACTTTTCTTTGGGCAAACTGTGTTTACACAACCAGACGTTGGTCGCGTTTGAAGCGAAGCCAAAAGGAGGTTCTTGAAGCCTTCACCCCGAATCGCCCCTTTGCCAGCAAGTACCGCCTTGGAAGGGGGTCACTTGGTGCGCCTTCGTGCGGAGGGTCTGCTGTAAATCGCTGTAAGCTCTAAACTGGTCCGACGTGCTTCATGAGTTGGTGGGAACGCGCCTGAAACCTTGGTGGCTCCCAGCCATCCCCTTAGCTTCTTAGCCGTTTAGTGCTTAGTGGGGTTTTCTTCTTAGCCCACTAAAGGTTAAACTTCGGGGGATCTGAGGACAGCCCAGAAACGGAGGCGCATGCTGACTGGCTTGGACCTTTGGGCTGGCCCCGAATCCCTCTCTGCCGCTTGCAGCCAGGAGGGCAAGAACTCTTACCTGGATGGCGTGCCCGCTGAGGCTCAGATGGTCAAACTGGAATGCCTTGCATGCACGGTGGGTCCCCCTTTTGTTTGTTTGTTTGGGAGGTAACCACCAGGGGAAAGGTGGCATTTTAGGCGCCCTCAGTTTGGAGATGAAGTCTGGGCAGGATTCCCTGTTGGGCTGCCTTGTGTTTTGGACGGCAGCAAGGATGTTATTCATGTGGAACCCAATAAAGCGGGGATTTCAAGAAGCTCTACATGTTCCAAAGCTTTTTCGTGCCGACCGGCTGGGCAAGGTTCCAAAGTCCCAGTTAGTTGTTCAGTTTTCTCCAAGATCGAAATGGTTCCTGGTGTCTACCTTTGTTGGTTAGTGCCAGTTTGGTTGCTCTTTTGCCTTCCCGTCCACGTGGAACCCTGATGGTGGAATCTTCCAGGGACCCTAGGCAAATCCCACTGAATGGATGGGAGGGTACCCCTTATTTTGGGTCGCCCCCCAAGTCGTTCTCAGAACCCTCAATCAGGTTCCATGCTACTTGGTTTTTAGACCTTTAGGGTTTAGTGGCTGGTGTCTGTTCAACCCACAAGTCAAAAGCTTTTAGCAGGGGATTGGAGGACAGGTTCCCGGTTTTTAGATGGGAGTGCACCCGGCCTGTCCAACAGGAGAAACCCGGCGCCGCCTTTGGCCAGGGGAGCGGTGAGCTGGAACTTACGACCTTCACCAACGCGGAGGTGCAGGCGGGCGAAGCCAGCCTGGTGTTTGGAGTTGGATCCCCCGAATTGAGGGAGATCCAAAGGGAAAGCTTTTCTTTCGTTTTTTTTTGTGTTGGGGGGGGAAGCTGGTGTTTTTGAGTTGGATCCTTTTTTTTGGTTTCCTGGAAGGGAAACCGCTTGGCAGCAGATTCCCCGTTTTGGGACAGAGCCAAGTGACTTGTTGGGTAGATCTTTACGTCTCATTGGTGACCAAATTTGAAATGCAAACCCTAGAATGCACATTGGGAGATTCTGGTTTTCCGCTGGCAGTTCTAGATTATATGTGGGGTCGCAAAAATAGGCTGGCCACCCAAAACAAAAAAATCCATGTGGCTGAAGAGTGTTGGTGGGGTGGTTTGGCAAGGAAGGGTGGTCATCGGGTATCGTTGACATGTTCAAGCAGAAAAGCTCCCAACAGGGCGGATTTCTTGATGCTTATGTGGTTGCCCTTCAAACCCAAAAATGGTGCCAACGACAAGACAAGTGAGTAAGCGTTAAAGCAGAGGAACCCCCTGAACTGTTTAACTAGCTTGTTTGTTGAAAAGGTACCACCAACACAAATCACCCTCCCAGGTACGCCTTTGCGAGGAAAAAAACCCTCGGCGAGTCTTCACCCGGTGTCAGGCTAAGCAGTCGGAGCTGCTGGGAGCGCTGGCCCGGAGCACAAAAGCCGTTCGGAGCGGGCGACGGATGCTCTTTCTCGGCTGTTGGGGGGGCGTGTAGGGCGTGTTGGACCCGCCTTTTTCTTGGTGTGAGTTTTTCTTGATGATCATGATGCTTGCGTTTCTTGTTTGTTTGTGTTTGTGATGGGTTGGTTTTTGGAGCCCCTCTTTTGGTTGAGTTTTTCTCGAGGTGATCTTTCAAGGGGAACTGTAAGGTATCTTGTAAAGGCAAAGGATGGTTGGGTGAAATTGGAGCTTGGAAGCTCTCCAGGAAGCTTCCTGGAGGTTCCTCTTTTTCATGTCCATTGTCAATTGTCAGGAGTACCACCGTACCACCCTCGAATGCTCCTCTGCAACCTGGAAGCTTGAAACTAAAGCGGTCGCCGGTCAAAGTCTCGAGAAGGAACCAGCAAGAAACTGCCACTACTCGCTTGTTCTCATCATCCAGGTTGACCTGTACACCGAGTGCAAGATTGGCCCTTGTGGGGAATGTAGGTCTGTTTGGAAAGGACTGTTTATGGTTGTCAGGAGGCTCATGCCCACATTTGAAGCCAACGACTTGGCCACGTCTCAAGAGTCCGGACCCAGTGGCGTTTTTGGGAGCTACAGCTTCTTTTCTGTTTTTGCCCAACTCGATGGATTCCAACTGATGTGATGCTAGACTTCTACAGCTTTTCTTGCCCACTGGCTTCAGCTTGCCTTGCGATCTTTGCCAACGAGCTCCCGCCCCGTGGATTTTTTAGGTCCAAACGCGCATCCGGGGACGCCCAGGTGCAGCTCATTCAGCCCCTGGCCCAGCAGGCGGAGTCGGCCACCGAGGACAGCTGGGTGGTGCTCGTGGCTCGGCGAAGCAAACGGGAAGCCGCGCGTGCTCCTTGCGCTGGAATGGGGGGCCCTGGCAATGCAGCCGGGAAGCCGGCCTGTTTTGAGGGGTTCCCAGATTTTGGGCTCCGAAAGCCTGGCTGGGTGCTGGAGTGGTGCTGCTTACTCTGAATGGGGGGCCCTTTGGTGGTCGGGTCCATGGACGCTACGGGGAGACGCAGCGTAGCTGCCCAAACCTTCATGGTCCTTGAGCCCAAGAACCCTCACCATTTGAGCAGCGAGCATATGCTCCCAGGCGGGTGTTTCTCAATCTCATTTCTATTTTAGGCTAGACCATGAACTAGAGTCAGAGCACATGATTTCCTGTGTACGCCAGATGTCCAAGATGCAGGGTTCCTTGTGTGCCCCCCCGCTTGAGTGTTCAACTGCTTAAGTGGGTTACAGCCATGGGACTAACCCCAGTTGCATCCATGGTTATAGCCTACTTAGGAAGTTCCACCCTATTTTAACCATATCCATGCTCGTAGCCTTCCTGCAAGGTTCATATTTACCACTGGGCTAGGTGGGAGCATAGCCTGCCTCAGTTGCAACCTACCCCTCAGTCGCCAACCGCCCCCAGCCGCCCCATCCGCAGACCCGCCTCCGCCGACGCCTTCGAAGCGCCGACATCGCAGGAGCTGGAGGCCCACACCCTGCGGCGCCTCACCTGGGAGGCGGAGGCCGAGCGCCGCGCGCGCACCGACGAGCCCAAGGCGCGGAGCCGCCGGCGCGCGAGTCCCCGAAGATTTTTTTTGGGATGCCTCCCCCTTTTGGCAGAGACGAGTTTTTCCTTCTTTTTTGTTTTCTTCAAACACTTGTTTTCTTGTTTTTTTTGGGGGGAAAGGGGGAGTGGAAGGTGGGAGTGTGTCTTTTTTGGCGGGGGACGCACAGCTGTTTTGGGTTGGAAGACAAAAGGAAGCACTTTGGGGTTCACAAAATAGAAACTTCCTTACCTTCCTTTTGGTTGGTTGAGGGAAACTTGAGTTTGAGACAACTCCACAAAAACGGGCCAACACGAGATCCCTCGAAAACCGGCACGCAGCGGAAGTCTCTTTGGGGGGAAGCACCCCAGTTAGAGACGCGCTGAGGGTTGCGCGAAGCTCCCTTAGAACCGAGGTGCAAGGCCGCCACATGGCCGGTGTTTCGCATGGGGCCATGTGATGCAAGCCGAGAAGGCCAATCAGACACCTGCTGTGGCAGCAGTTGGAACATCACCTTGCTAAGGTCCATGCTGTTTTGGTTTGGGGGGTGCACCGCGCCCTTGCCAGCGAACTTGGTCTTAGAGGCCATAACATATACAAACACAACATACATATATATATATATATATATATATATGTACATGCCACGTTGCATGTATGGTATATTACATGCATATATATATATATACACATAGAGATAGATGGATACATTTGTAAGTCTGATTACATGTATGCATGTGTGTACACATGCTGTATGTTCATTTGTTCATATGTGCTTAGGTCAGCTTTCGGCACCTTCGGCTGGCTTGATCTGTGCGCAGGTGGACGAACACGGCGAGGAGGTCCCACCAGTGGGGGCCCCTAGTTGAATTTGGTGCCATGTTGGACCCCGCTTAAGGTGGCGCCTTTTAAAAGGGGCCCCTGGTTTTCAGAACCCTCGGGTGATGTTTGAAGGGTCATGTTTGAAGGGTGATGTTTGAAGGGGACAGTTATAAGGACCCCTAGGGTTAAACGAGCGCTGCCAGAGAACAAATGAGCAGATTGGCATTTCGCCACTCAATGAGAAAATGGGCGGACCTCAAACGGAGGGCCGCCTCCAAGTAGTTTGAACACCTCGCACCATATTTTTTTCTGGGGTTGAAGATGCCACCGGAGTCTTTTGGCTGACCTGGGTGGGAGGCATGTTGTAGAGGTCTGCATATTTTTCTCATGACATGCTTGTATTTCCGACGGCGCCTCTGGATCAAACTCTGGGTCAAATTGGAGGGACTGAGAACAAAGTGGGGTGTAAGACGAACGGCGGTTGTGAGGGGACAGCTCCGTGGTTGGAGGCGGGGATGAAGCCCAACTTCCAGGCAGCTACTGCTAGTGGGCCAACAGAGAAATTCACCGCGACAAGAACCAAAGGACAAATCCGAGCTGGCGGCCGCGCCCATTGGGATCCTTGGAAAAAAGAGGAACATTGACCTAGTATGAAGCCAGCATGCTGCGGTGTTCATGGGCCTGGCAACCAGAGGTTCTTTGCTCGTGGAATGCCCGGCTGTTGTGCTTGAAGTTCACCTTCGCCTTCCTCAAGCGGCACCTTGCAGCGTGACGCCTTTCGAGCGCGCGCAGGACCCACGGCCCGTGCGGCCAGACGAGGATGCGCTGGAGGTGCGGAGAATTGGGGAGAGGGTGGTGGGGGGTGGGGAGGTTGGGCCAGATGTATGGTGGGAACACGATGGTTGGCACTAGGCTGACAGAATGACAAAAAAGAGGCACACTTTTCTGGCTTTAGGACTTGTGGCACTTCTGATCACAGACACTGGGTCAGGATATTCGGTGTGCCAGTATGCAGGCTGATGGTCTTTCTTCTACCCTCTGCGTGCGGCGCAAGGCCTTTTTGAGATGATGGTAGTCTTCCAAGACCCAGTGGTCCACTTTGATTGTTGGACGGGCTTTCTATTTTCCCATCAACGAGGCCCTTTGACAAGGGCCAGAGGGCTCTGGGGGTCTGTGGCTGGCTTGGGGGTTTCGTTGTGGCATGATATGCTTGGGTTCGGGTTGGATCTGAGGGAGCGTTTCTTCCTCTGGCAGCTACAGCCCCCCCCCCCTGGCGGCTCTTCTGGATGGCCGTGGCTCAAACATCGCCCAAGCGCCAAGTTGTAACTTGTGCACAGAAGTCCGCGTTGTTTTCTTCTTTTTTCTCCTCTTTTTTGAGGGTGGCCAGAGCTTCCCCCGGAAGAAGTTTCCAGACAACTCCCAGGGAGACGCGACGACTCTGCCACCTCCTGCCCGGCCGCCCGCTGCCCGCTCAGGGCATGGGCTTCCCCAAGGGCGCGCGGATGCACGGCTTCGAGGAGGCCTCCGATCCGCCGAGCGGATCGGTTCGGGAGCTGCGGTCAGCGCTTGGTGCGTTCGTTTAAAACGGGACCCGGGGGGGACATGGGGGGGGGGACGAGCTTTTGAGAAACGGCGTGCACGAAAATGGGGACTCACTCATTTTCCCAGGTGCTTTGAGTGAAAGAAGTGATTTTTGGACCATGATATGGAGGCTTGTTTTGTGACTTGGAGTTTGTGGTTCTATTTAGTTCTACTTGAAGCCTTTGGTGTACGCGGCATGCACGAGCGGGGGATCGGTGGTGGGGGGGGGGGGCTGTTGGCAGCGGTGGTAGTGCTGGATGGCTCTCTCTCTCTCTCTCTCTCTCTCTCTCTCTCTCTCTCTCTCTCTCTCTCTCTCTCGCTCTCTCTTTTTTCTCTCTTTCTCTCCCTTTTTCTCCCTCTCTCTCAGTCTGTCTCTCTGCTTTGCGGATTGGGTTGATCAGGGATGGTGCCAAGACCATCTTCCCCTGGTAGAAGGTTCAGCAGACCTCCGCCAGCTTGCCAAAGAAACCCAGCGAGCGGTGTGCGGAACGACCCCTGAAGGTTCCCCTCACTGGGACCACTCAAATGGCTGTGGTTGTCAAAACCGTTTTGGGATCCCATTTTGGGCGATTGGTGAATTCACCACCCATTTTAGTCTAGCGCAGATTGGGATGTTCACTCAAGGTACGATTTGGATTCTGACCCTTGGCCAAATGACATCATAGGAGACATGTCAAATTTCACGAAGTATGGACCAACAATTCAAGCAACATGTCTAGCATTTGAGGTGTGAGAGTGGATTTCTTTGACGTGAATTCCACCGGAGAGGGATGATTGCCGGGAGAGGACGCCGTTCCTTTCCAGGATTGCCGACCACTTGTTTTAGCTCGCGGGTATGTGTTAATCAGAGTTGGAGCCCTTCAAATGCTTGGTGTCAGGTTAGTTTTTCAAAGCAGGATTCGACAGGTTCCTAGATTTAGCATCATACTCAGACGTTCAACCACTCGTGTTAATACCATAGACTCTGGTTGTTTTCTTAAAGCGGTTTTCCAGACCCTGGCTTCAGGATTACAAAGGTCTTGTAATATGTTTTTTTAGGGCAGACGGGCAGACGGGTTTGACTCAGGTTCTGGTATTTCAAGCCAGCCAGCTGTGCAACGGCCGAAATTGTGCATCAGCCAGTTCGAGCCTCAAGACTGGATCAATCTCCAGGGCCAGAAAACCGCGCAGAATATCCTTTCATGTTCTCGGACGCGCGACCCGTCCGGGAGGCCCTGAGCATGGAGGCGCACGTGTGGCTGGCGGAGCAGGGTCTCCGCCAGGCGTGGACCCTGGAGGGTGGGTTTGGTGAGTGGGCGGCTTGCATAGCGCTATGGGTCAAAATCAATGGGATCCCATTTTGGTTGGTAGGTGCACCACCCATTTTCGGCTTTACTTTAGTGGGGATTGGGATGTTCACGGGGGGAATGATTTGGCTTTTGACCCATGGCCATATCATCGATGCCCAACTCGTGGTGTTCCAGTTGTCAGCCTCGCCTTGTTCAGGAGATGCGGGGCAGTGAGGCGAACAAGGCGCGGGATGTATCCAGGATGTTGCATGAGATGAGGGAGGGGTCGGTATGGCATCAGCATCGGGTTGCAGAGACAAAGGCCATTTTTTTTGAGTGATTGTTTGGTCTTGTTGGAACCAATTGATCATTACTGCTGTCTTGATTATGGGAAATCAGACACCAAAGCGGTCTCCAATGGCGCGGCATCATGTATGACTCCCTCTTGTTGTTTGTTCTTTGTGGCGGAGTTCCATGATGCTTTCTGGATCACAAAGGGGTCGCGTTCGCGGGCTTATCGCGAATGAGCCCCTGTCACAACGGCCTACTGATTGTAAGGATGAGCACATGTCCTTGTTTGGAAATCAGGATGTTGGACATTTGGAATCCTTGATGTCGTTTTCCCTCACAACTGACTTCACCAGGCGCTCGTGTCCCTTGCTTTTGGCAGACCCTCCCTGGAAATCCAGTGCTTGGACCTCCTTTAGTAATAGTACTCTCTATTGTAGATTTTCTCTTTCTATTCAATACTAAAGTAGAATTGGCCATACTAAAGTAAGTACTGTCCCTCCAAGACTCCCAGGATTTCACTAAAGAGGGTTCAGCTGACTGGTTCCACTGTTCAGGGCGGGGGTCCGTGTAAAGAGGGTCCAACATTACGACACCCAGCTGCAGTCGCTTCAGGGCTCCTTCGAGCTGCTGGAGAAGTGTCTGGCCCTTCGCCTCCGCCGGGGACGCCCGATTTTTTTTGGGCCGGGAGTCCGTGTGGCAAAATCGTACCCCATGGAACATCCCAATCCAACCACTGAAATAGGTCCAAAAATGGGTGAAGTCACCATAGTCACCTACCAACCAAAATGGGATCCCAAAACGGTTTTGACAATCACAGCCATGTTGGCTCGCGCCATGGTGAAGAGAGACCTGCCGCAAAGTGGGCGGCCCCCCACTTCCGCAGCACTCCTGGGCTTTTACAACTTTTTGCGGGCCAAAGGCGCAAGTTGGAGCTTTTTGAAATGGTTCAAGCCATTTCGGGAAGTGGGTTGGGGTCATTGTGGCAGGGATGGTGATCCCTTGAGACGTTTTGTAGACAAGCATGGTAAGCAATCGATGGCCCACAGGACTTTGGACCGTGGCACAAATGGGAAATGGGCGCCAAGGGATGGTCTCCCTTTTGGTTTCGTATGAAAACCAAAAAGGGTTCCCCAAAAAAGAGGACACACCCAGAAGTATGTGTTTCCGGAAGCGGGAACCACTCCCCTTTTTGGATGATGCGAAGCAGAAACCAAAGCCAACCTTCTACCCGCCCACAAAACTTGACCCCCCTTTCGCGGAAAGTTGTCTTCCAGGTGCCCTTCTGCAGGTGCGATGGTGAGAGGCAGTGGGGGGATGCATCATCTAAATGTTTCCTTTTCCCCAGGAACTTGGATTCGGCGGTTAACAAACAGCCCCATTTCGACAAAATTTCGAAAGGAAGCCAAAAAGACAGCAACCCAAAGTTTCTCCAACAACCCAGGTGCTGGAAAGAGGGTCCCCACAAAGATCCCACGGGTTCCCAGTTGGTAACCCTTGGGTTTTGGAGAAAGGACAACGCCATGTCGTGGGAGGGGTGTCCGACGCAAATGCTTAGGCTATCGCCACTTCCTGCGGCCTCCGCTGGTGGACGCCTGGACCCCCGGATCAAACAACCATTTGGTTATGAGCTACAAGAGTTGGAGCCACCTCGCAAGTGGTTGGACATGAATGTTCGCCTACATGATGTCCACCAAAGGGTCCCCCCCCAAAAAAAATGTGCCCAGTGGAGTCTGCCTGATTCCATGGCCATATGGGTGTGACAATGGGGAACTCATCCTTCACGGGCTGGGGCGTTTTTCGGACTCGCACAGGTGGACGTGCTGGTGAACGAGATTGAAGACCCAGAGAAGGCGGCGGAGCTGTGGTTTTTGGTATATGATGCGCAGCGCCCAACCCACATTTTTTTTGGGGCCATTTGAGTGGGTGGCTCCAGTTGCCTGGTTTAGGTAAAGTTGGAGTTCTTATGTTCGTAGGACCGCAGTGAATTGGGTTTTTGGGCACCCCAAATCGCCATGGAGCACAGCAGACAGAACCACCAAGCCGGGCCAGTGGCTACGGGGTTCCCAATTCACCCGGGAAGCCTTGCACACGGCAACTTTCGGGGTCACTTACTTGCTTGGACGCGTTTGCAGCTGCAACAGCAGGGTTTCACATTGAGAAGGCATGACTCGAGGATATTCGAAGGATGACGCCACTTCTAAAAAAATGGGTTTTGATTATATCGATTCGAGATCAATCAAGTTTGGTTTGCGTGCTTTACTTCCTTGATGGCTCACCAGGTGAGAGAACCACGCTACATTACGGGCACTGTCACAGTTGTGTTTCTTTTCTGTACGGAAGTGTGTGTATTTTTTCCTAAGGATTGTGATTCCAGTTGCTCCCATTCGGTACTGTTTGCCACTGGAATCACTCAACACTCGCCGTGAATTCGGCTCTCCCCTCTTGCCCAAGAATTTCGGTTTCCCGAGCCTCAAAGGACCCCCGACAGGAAACGCGTCAAGGACGCAGGGCGGTTGGTTTCCTTTTCGCTTCGGTCTCGCGGAGAAAATGCGTCGCATAGGCACCACACTCGGTTCCCGGCCGTCCGGTTCCTTAGGTGTTTCTTTTTGGAAATGAATTTGAGTTTCGTGGGGGTTTCCGTTTCACACACAAGTTCCAAGCTTTTCGCAGGGATCATAAAAATCGGACGGGCCCCAGCTCTGAGCGTCGTTTTCGCTCCGCGAAGACGTTTTGCAGGTGCGGCTGCCGGAGAGTTATGAGCTCCTCACGGGGGACTTGAACCACTTCTCGCCGCCCGGAGGCCCTAGGAAAGCAAGGGGAAGGCAAGTGGAATTCCACGGGGGGTACCCTTGGTGTGGTGGGAACCTTTTTTTCAACCGCCTTGTTTAGGACGTGTGCTATTGTCCGTGATTCCATTTACCTGCATAGGTAATTGTGGGAAGGAACCACCCTTTAAAAACCAAGTGGACGTTGGCAAAGGGTTATCTACCATACTGGCTGCTGGGATCCGTAGCCAAGTGTCCAAGGCACTGCTCCATCCTCCAATTTATCGAGGGTGGGGTACAACGAGCTCTGAAGGAAGGAAGCGAAGGATGGAGAAACAGCGAGGTTCAGTCAGAAACACCACGTAGTCTACAGCCTATGTGTGTGTCTTTCTTTGAGGGTCCCCCCATTGTGGTGGTTTTTAAAGGAAGCCAACAGGAGAACTCACGCCCTTTTGGTGGGTGCCCCCACATGGCGCAACTAAACCTCCCCGAAGCTCCCCTGCCTCCCCCAGTGTTTCGGGAACGGAGCTGTCTGAGGCAGAACCTTCCAGGGGACGGCGCGGAGTCAGGCGGGAAAAGCTACTTGTGACAGGCAAGTCACAAGGGCAGGTCACAATCAGAGGTGTTCGTTTCTTTTCTGGCTTTAGTTTGGTCGAGCCAGGCTTTTTTTTTTTTTTAATCATTTACCGGTTCCATCTGGTTGTCCAAGGTCGGAACATCACACATCAGGTGCCCCTGTTGGTCCGATGAGGGCTCCGGGGCTTGACCGCGCACGGTGGGTCGCTTCAAACGGCGTCTCCGCCAGGCGCTACGAAGAAGCAAGGCCGAAAGCTTACCAGACTGCTGGACACAGACCGAATGCTCAGGGCGCAGCCGTTTTCTTTTCGTTTTAGCGGCCGTCCTTGGCCAAAGCTCAGGACAAGTTCCTCAAGGGTAGGGGGACTTTCCCCATCGAATTTTATGAGAAATCCTGGGACGAGATGCGCGGGGTTGAACCGCAGGGGCGCGAATGATCGGCTCCCTCCATTTTTTCCCATCATCTGTCTAAGGCCTGTTCAAGAGATTTCTCCTAACCGTTTCCTCTGGTCATGTCTCGTCCTACGGTTGAAAAGGATAGACTCGTGAATAGAGGAATAACCGTGAATAAGAGAGAATCATTGACAGACAGTAAATAGAAAAGACTAGAAACATAAAATACAAATTTATAATAAACAATATGAAAAAGATATGACAAGGAAAAACATCTACTTCTATAAAATGCTGTTGGTATCTTGTCATGTCTTTATTGTTTACCTTCATTCCCTTTCATTCATTTCCTAGACTTAGAATGGAAATGAAATAGAAAGAAAGGGAATGATAGTACAGAAAACCAAATATTATAATCTTAGAATTATAAAATATTTGTCTATTTCTTTATTATTAGTGTTTGGGGTTTTATTAAGAGATCTCCCAAACACTCCAAATAATAAAGACATGACAAGGAACAGGAATGGAATGACATGTGACTTTCCTTCTCTCACTCTCTTCCCACTGCTGGAACTTTGGTGGTCATGTTAACCATTTTTGACGGGACACCCAGCCCCCCCCCCCCCCACCCTCCGGGGAAATTGGTGTGTCATCTTGATCGCTCTGATCGCTCTGTGGGAGACCCAGACACCGACCGAGAGGCAAGCACGTCTATGTCATCGGCCAGCGCTTTGATGCCTGGGAGAACTGGACCGCTGAGTGCCCCGACCGTGGGGGGGAGGGGGGGGGCGTTTTGGGCGTTGTTGGCGCTTCAGCTTGGGCAGGGCTCCTTAAAAGAAATCTCCATTTTGCCACCATTTGAAACATGCTGCTTTTTCAACACCAAAATAAAGGGAAACCACCATTTACAAGGCAATGTGTATAATGTAAGGATTTCTGTTGGGGACATGTCAAACGGGAAATAGGCCATAGGTGTCCTTTTGATCGGATAGTTTGGGATAGAACTGGATGGGTTCCACTGGTTTAGGCTGGTTTTTAATGCCCCGTTTAGCAGGCAAGCCCATCTGCTTTGAATCAGCAGGAGAACGGGGGGCCAATTTGTGCCACGGTCACGTGCTTGTGCACCCTGAAAGCTTTCCAGTGGCAGTTGGGACCAAGGGAACTGGGGACCTTTGACCAGGCCCAGAATTTATGTTACTCTTGAGCATAGGTGTCCTTTTTGGATGTTTTGCTCGGAAAATCGATGGCGATTCCTGGTTTACCTGGTGGTTTAATCATCTACCAGGGAAACCCATCTATTTCCCCTAAAAGGACACCTATGCTCTTGAGGTGATGTAGGTTCGCTGGACATTGCAAGACCAAACACTCACAAGGCCACCGACTTGTGTTTTTGTTTGGTTCTCTGACCGCTTATTGGTAAGCGGAACTTGAAATGATCCAAGAAAGCAGATGGGCTGCCTGGCTGCCTTTCTTCTCCTTTCTTTGAACAGGGCACAAGAGCCGAACTGAGAGACGGCTCATGGCTGACGGCCAGTGTACTTCCAGTGTACCAATTACCCAAGTCGTGCGGGGCTGAAATCAGCAAAGGCACCCTTTTACCACAGCGCCAAGCGCAGCATTTGGGTCTGAGTGCACTTTGTTCACTTGCCAAGTTCCGACCCCTGCCATTCTTATCCAGGGGTCGACTTCTTCGGCTGGCCTTCGATTTCGTCTTCGATTAGCTGGTTTCCACTGGCCCCCAAACACTACCCCCAGACTTTGAATGGGATATACGGCCACCATATGGCCACTAAAGGGTATATACTTTCGTTTCCTAAGCCGGTTTCCATATGCAGCCACCTAATTTTCAGGGTATATTCCGCTAATTTCCATATACAGCCACCATATAGCCACTATATAGCCACTAAAGGGTATCTACCCCAAATGTCTCCTGGGAGTGGTGTGGGGCTAGCGGACACCATCGACCTTTGGAGCCGGCCAGGTATCCAGTCCCCATCCGCCGGCTGTGCAACATGAAAGTCGCCTTCGCGCGCCCGGCGTCGATTCTTTTTCTCCCCCTTTTATTATTATTATTATTATTATTATTATTATTCATTATTATGTTATTTGTTTCCTGCTCGGAGGATCTGCCTCTTTCAGGGAAACCAATTAGCAGGGATACAGGGGAACCAGGGATACGGGAGCCGACAAACACCGGGGCTATGTCACATCAATTCTCGATCCTTTGGTGACATGATTCTGGTGGGCAAGGCCTCATGCTGTTGGTACCTTTGGTTGTCCACCCAACGGACCGTCGCCCATTCCGGGCAATGTTCGGATCCGTTTGGTGATGGTTGATCTGAACATCTACCGGTGGAGACAACCCAAACGCCGAAGGCGTTTTTGGATGTTCATGACTCCATTTACTTAGAGAGCTGGAGGTTGTGAGTCGGAAGGGCCTCCGCATTCCTTCAAGACATGACTCCCCAAATAAGACGGTTTCCCTTGAGTTTCCCATTGCAGCCCCACAAAAGGGAGACACCCACGTGAGCCTCGGGGTCCACATTCGGCTTCCGGGGATTTCCGTTGGGTTCTCTTCGGTCCAAACCTCGGCTCCAATGCGCGTGCGCGAGCCATCCGCCAGTTGCCGCAAGCTCCTTCGGAGAACCGGGGACCTCCGCCTCACGCGCCCGGCACTTGGCGCGCGTGACAGAGAGCGAAGCTTGGGCGCTGGAACGGCAGAAGCTAAGGCTAAGAGTGCAAGGGTGAAGCTTGAAGAGAAAGGTGTTAGAAGCTAAAGCAACATTTTGTGTGGTTTAGAAGCTACAGGCCCAGTTTGGATCTTACACGCTTTTTGTCCCTGTTTTTCTTCCTTTTTTTTTTTTGAGGGGGGGGTGGGCGTTTCAAGGAGCCCATTCAATGGGGACTTTAATGTATGCACATCGCGTGTTTTTCTCACTGTCGGCGTCCATTTTCTGGTTTCCCAGCACTAGGCCACCGGGTTGGGAGCGGTAGCCCACAGGTCGAAGGGCACCAAACTCCTTTTGCAGGCGACAAATCCCAAGCTGCCCAGCCTCAACATGGCGGTCTCTCTTTGAGCCGTTTTCTTATTTGCGTGGGTTTCTTTGAGTAGTTTCCTTTGGGCACATGATGGAACACGAGCGGAGAAAAGAAACCCGGAACCTGCAAAGCGAACACACAAAAAGGCCTTAGGCCGCTGGGTTTTCAGACTTCGAAAGAAGGCCACCGGGAATTGACATGCCATTCTTACTTGATCCGGAAGCCGAAGTCTGGCAAGGCTTCTAGTCCTGAATGGCTCAGCACGGTTTGTTGTTCGAAAGTGTTCCCGAACTTCTTCCTCACGTTCGGTGAGAATCTCAGTCGGATGTGGGAATTATCCCACCCAATGGTCCATGTGGGAATTATCCCAATCTGTCCAGTGTCCGAACCAGGAACTAGGGATTCCTTTTGACATCCACTTTGACAGGAACCACAGCGAAGCCCTGACCTCCACCCAGATTCTTGACCCCTATCGAGTCTATGAGAGGACTGCACACAGCGAACCGCGGACCTCACTTTCTAGGTGTTTTTTTAGTAGAGCTCTTTCTCACCCTGGGTTCCCCTACTAAGATAGACAGAAAAAAGTTGGTACCCTTCTTCTAACCTCTCAAATCTGGAGGACCTCACTTCGGATGAGCCGGATCGCTTCGCAGGACCGGCATGCACGAGAAGCAGCTCGATGGCGAGGCTGGGCCGCGAGAGAGACGCGCGAAATGGCCCGGGGAGGTTGGACCGGGGGATTTTTCGAGTTTTCGTATGCCAAGGGTTCGGGCGGTTTGCTCTGGGTTTGTTTTCCAAGGTGAAAAAAAAGAAGTTCCAAGGTGAAAGCAAAGGCTCCAAGGGGTCAAGCTTTCGTTGGGGTTCCACGGGGAAAACGGAAGGTCAAGGCGAAAAACAGAGGCTCCAGGGGGTTAAGCGTTCGTTTGTTTTACAAGGTGAAAAAGGAAGGTCAAGGTTGAAAAACGAAGTTCCAAGGGGAAAAGCAAACAGAGTACACCAAGGGCAGAAGTTTTTTTTTTCCAAGGTGGAAACATAATTTCCAAGGTGAAAAACAAAAAGGTTCCCCTTTGTAGCCCAACTCTGACACGGGATCCTTTCTATAGGAGGTTTATGACGAGGCACCTGCTCGAGGACATGGGTTGGTGTTGAACGGAGGATTGGCCCCATTACGTTTATACGTGAAAATCTAGGCTTCCGTATTTTCCACCTTACCCGTAATTGGTGGTTTGGATTGGTTTGAACCACTGGTTCTTGAGGGTAAATTGGAAACAGCCACTAACCTCCAAACCACAAATCCACACCGCGTAGGGTGATTCGTTCCCTTTGAGCATGCAAAAGGGTGCTCTAAGGCTTAGAACATCCCCATATGTGGCAGGGATTGTCAAGGATCCGCCGGAATTTTTGGACGTAAAGGTTCCGGAGGAAATCATGACAGTTACGCACAGAAGGAACTCTGACATATGGGTGTTGCTCAAAATCGAGGACCCCAAAATGACAAACGGCTGCCCTTCCCTTTGAACCCACCCAAACAGGGGTCCACCATGTTGAGACAAGCCCGTATGGGTATGTCTTTTTTGCGAGTTGGTACTGCTTGTTTGTGGTTTTAAAGAGAACCAAGAGGACACCGAGCTGGTTTTAAAGAACCAAAAGGACACCGAGCCGCCATTCTGTGGTGTCCTAAAAAACGTGGCGCGGCCATGGTGCATGCGGGGACCCCCCCGTTCCCCTTTGCTGATAAGGAGCCGCAGCCCTGGCTGGCTTCATATCGATCTGGCAGCCCGGAGCCCTTGAGGTTTGTCCGGACAACGGCTTTGACTGTCGGAGGGGGTTTTTGCCTTTAAACACCCACCAAACAAGGGGAACCCTCCGGAAAAAAGACCAGGTAGGTTGGCATAGGTGTCTTGTCGATCGGTTAGGTTGCTTAGAAATCGATGGGCTCTACCAGGTTTAGATGGCTCACCTATGCCGGTGGCTGTTCTGTGGTGTTTCACCATGAGGTCTGAACTTTTGCCAACTTTTGGACCTCGGACGTGTTTGGAGGTAGATTTGTTCAAGTTGTTTTAGGTCTGCGTTCTTTGTTGGTAGTTGATTTGTCCAACGTTGTTCCCCCCCCTCCCTCTTGTTAACATGCAGCAACCAAACATTTGCGTGCCTTTAATCTTCGAGCTGTTCGAAGCATGGCAGCGACTCAGTGGCAGCAGGTCAAACCTTTGGCAGGGGGTCAAGGGCCACCCCGGCGAGTGTGCAACCAGAAGTAAACTTAAGAGGCGTAAACTGGCAAAAAAAGATCAACTAATAGCAGTGCCAACTGAGCAGTGCCCAAAACTTTGTCCAATCTAGCTGGTTCTAGTTCATGGGTTGCTAGGTAAAGGGCCAGGTACACCTTAGGACCTTAAGTCCAGGGGTGTTGGGCGCAGGTAGCACTGGGCCAACTTGACCTCCGGGCTCAATGCGAGACATCTGTGACTTGGGGTTGGTGGAGATGATCACCCCCTCAGCATTGGAAGTTAACTGAGGTTTCCCCGCGCTTTGCTAACCGGACCTATGTAGGGGCAAGATTCATATTAAAGCCGAACCGGACATTTGACAATGTCCAAAAGAATGACAACACCTGGGATGGAATTGAATGGACAAAGGACACGAACCAGCTTGGGGTCCCTTTGGATACACCCCGGGCGGGTCTGCAAGCCTCACCATGGTCCGGGAGGGTGTGGCTTTTAGCATTTTTTGTTGGTATTCTACCCATGGCTTGGGATGTGGATAGACACTGTGAAAAACCTAGGGCTTGAGACGGTCAGAAGCAATCTCGAGATGGGCCTGCCATCAGTCTACTTGCGGCAAGCCATGCTTCTCAACCCTAAAACCTAAACCCAAAACCCTAAACCCTAGACCCTGGACCTTAGACCCTAGACCCCTTCATTGTCTTCTTCTGCTTCCTGGCGTTCCTCCTCCTTGCCTCTCCTGACTCCGCAAAACGCCCTGGCCACGCCCAGGTGCAGGTGATTCCTCAGGCCCACCGGGAGCGCTGGGATTGGAAGCGGAGGGTTTCGGCTTCTGGGGGTGACGTTGGTTGTCTTCCATTTGGTTAGGAATATGTTTTTCTTCTCCGGTTGGTTTTAAAGGGAATCTATCACTACTGGACATATTTCTATTTTTTTCCAGGCGACTTAAGCAAATGGAGGTTTTGGAAGAACTGGGCGGCTCTTTTTGGAGGTTGGACCCTCCCAAAATGGTGGCTTTCCTTTTGGTTTCCCTTTAAAACCACCAAAAAGGGGACCTTAAGAAAGACCACACCCACTTTCACGATTGCTGGAAGGGTACATGGGATTGAGATGTCAGAGCTAAAGCATTCTATAGCTTATTTGAGCTAAATTTGGCTGAAGTGTTAGCTATGCTTGATTGCAGGTCGATGCGCTTGTCGGTTGAGCTGCCGGTTGTGGGTCTTCAAAAGGCTTGGAATCGGGATTCGGCCAACATGCATGTGTTGCTAGGGTGGAGTCGTTGATGAAGCAGGGAACTAGAACCTGTGATTGCGCTGCCAGTCATGTTCACACAACCGATTTTCCTCTTGGATAATATTTTTAAGTTTGCACGTTGTGATTCTAGGTCAAGTGATTCATGTACTCCTTGTCTCTAAGCTGATTTCAACCCTCCCAAACCGCCATCCGCGAAGGAACGCGTGTACACATCTTTCGAAGGCTGTATAAGTGCTGGTGTAGCTTTATTCCCCTTCTTCATGATTGTTGTTGGGAACCATTTTACATTTTGCGTATTGTTTAATGAAACATCCCCACTTCACAGCTAACATTTAAATGTTTGCTTCCCAAACCCAACGTCGACCAAGTTTTCCCAGGAGTCTGAGTTGTTTTTGTTGGGAATCCATGAGCTACCTGTCCGTTTGACCGAGGCTTCGAGGTCCTGGAGGAATCCGAGCAGCTGCGAGAGGCCGCGTTTGTCGGATAGCACAGAAAAGTCGTCCCAGGGAGATTTCTCTTCAATAGTCAAAAGGGTGGGCTTGGGGTTCTGTGTGAATCTGCGGAGCCGCAATAGTCCCAGGTAGATGAAAGGGGAGTCCCGCTCAACATCAAAGGTTGCACACACGCTCGAGGCAAGCCACTCTTCAAAGTCTCAAACCGCGCGCCAGCATGGAGTTGAGCCATCCTTGGTGGCTTTGTCAAGTCCTCACTGAGACTTGTGTGCGGCAGCACGCATAGCTCCCAGGGCTGGCAGGATTTGAACCTGCGACCTCCCCGCGAGCGAGCTCGCAGGGCGCGCTGCCATTGTGCCACAGCCCTGGTAAATCAAAATCCTTTCGAGCCAGGCTTTGCTCAAGCAGCTCACGAAGGACGGCCTTGTGACCCACAGGCTCGTTTTGCACCATGCCTGAGACCTTGCTCATAGATGCCGCGAAGCCCCCGTCAAGCGGCTTTCATAGGACCGGTCGGTGTGTGTGTGTGTGTGTGTGTGTGTGTGTGTGTGTGTGTGTGTGTGTGTGTGTGTGTGTGTGTGTGTGTGTGTGTGTGTGTGTGTGTGTGTTGTG